ATCGTGTGGTTGTATAATCTCTTTCTCTTAAACTTACATGTGATGTCAATTAATTTTTACTTATCAATTTTAAAATATTATATAAGCTATATTTATAAATAAATAAAAATCATCAATCAAAGGAAATTGAAATGGTAAAATTAATAGATAAAAAAAATGTGTAGAGGATAACTGATGTGTAATAAAAAAAGAAAAACTAATATACTTTGAATGATTATTTTTGGTTGGTAGAAAATGAATAAATTTTGGTTTTTAATATTTATTAAAAAAAATTTATTTTCATTATTAAAATTTAAAGTTATTATTTTTATCTAAATATTTATTTTAAAATAGATAAATAAGCTGAAAAATTTATAAATATTTTTAGAAATATTATATAACTATGAGTGTCGCTTGAAATAATTACTTAATTTTATGATAAATATATAAGTTGTCAACAAAGATCAAATAATAATAAAAATTAAAAACAGTAATTTTAAATTTTAAAAAACAAAAAAACAAAAAAAAAATGAACTAAAGTAAAAACTTAAATGTGCACATGTATATGTTTATAAGCATATTTAAACCTTATTTTTGTAAGCATTTTATTATTAAAATTGTACAATAGAACTCTACCGTACGAAACTGAGAAAGGTTTTCTCTTTTCTTCTTTAATATGTGGATGTATTTGTTAGGATTTATCAATGTTTTTAAAGTGGACTCAATCAATTTAGAGATAGATTTAATTAGAGTGTTAATTTGTATTCGATTCAATAGTGAATTCGATTAACTTGAAAATAAAGTTTAGTAGGATTTTTAAAAAATGACTTAAATAAAATTAAGTTATTTTGATTTATCTCACTAAATTTATTAAATTAAATGAAATTGACCTATAAATAAAATTAAGTCAAATTTTAAAAAAATGACTTGAATAAAATCAAGTCATTTGCTTTATCTCATTAAGCTCAATAAATCAACAATAAATCAAATAAGCATGGTTCAAGCTAACTTGTAGGTTTATAGTAAATTTATTAAGCTAATAATTGAAATAATTTAAACTATTGTTAATTTATAATATACTATAAAATAATATAATATAATAATAATGAAAAGAAATTAAATAACTCTTAATAAAGTTATTCTACTCAATAACTTACTGTATATGTTAAATTTTAAAGATCAAATCATTTAATTAATTTTTTTTAATAAATATATGAAGTCTACAATTTTTTAAAATTTTGAAAGTTATTTAATATTTTATTTCATTGATTTAAATTGACGGATAATTATAAAAACTTTTTATACATTGGCTTAAATCTATATAACAAAGAATTATATGATTCTCAAAATTTTTAAAAAAATTATAAATTTAATTTATAATTAAGAATTTTGTATGATTGTTTAAATTTAATATTGAGTAAAATAATTTTATCAAGAATTTTTCTTAGAATTATTTGATACCTTTTCATTATTATATTTATATCATATTATTTTGTAATACATTATTTATTATTTCAATTATTAGATTAATAAACCTACTTGAAAGCCTCAAAACCAATTCTTAGGCTCATTTCATTTTTGATAGTTACTTAGTTATGCCAAAATGACCTGGTCTATTTGTAATTTTGAATGTTGTGCTTTAAGTTGTGTAGAATTTAAGAAGTTATGGTATCTAAGGGAACAAGTGACCGAGAAGAAGGGTATATCGAGAATAATGGAGAGGAAAAAAAAAAAGCAATAGAAAAAATACTAAGGCTTTGAATTTAAAAATCTTTAACGATCTTAAAAGTTTTCACATGGGGAGAGAGATACATGATATTTTCCCACGCTAGCATGCGTCTTCTATATAAGTAATTAAAGGACATGAGTTTTTTTTTGTTTTTTATTTTATTTTATTTTTTAAAGAAAGATAAAAGAGATATATTTGAAGGAGAAACAATAATAAAAGAGATTATTATTTTTTAGAATAAAAGAGATAAAATTAATTTTTATGATTAAAATGAATATTTAATGTAATAAAACGGCTAACATGAGCATTCATACACATTTTAGAAAACTGAAAACAAGATTATACATCACAACTAGATTATAGATTATTTATTATTGGCTAAATTTATTTTATCTTATTTATAATATTTATTTTTTCCTTTATCTTTTAAAATTTCAGTTATATTTTAAATAAAAATCAATTTAGTCCTCCCAATATGTGATCATTTTAAATTTTAAAACACGATTTTATTTTTTTAATAATTTAATACATAAAATTTGTTTCATTAAATTCATCTATTTATAAAATATATATAAAATTTAAATCTTTGAACTAAAAAAGTTTATAAATATAATAAAAATTGCATAAAAAAGAAATCTCACGCTCAACAAAAAAAATTGATATTAGATTTTAATTTTTTAGTTGCTAAGAAGACTCATTTTTACGCAAAAAAAAATCGAAATTATATTTCACAATATAAAACAACTAGCAATGATTTAAAAGAACTAAATTAATTTAATTTTTTTTTAAAAATTAAAATAAATTTTAAAATAAAATAAAGAAAAATATATAACTTAACTTTCATCATTTATTATTATCTATACCGGATGGTAGCCGACGAGGCCAAATACCCGACCCGATCAAACTGATCGACCCTACTGAGAACACCGACTACCTCTTACCCGAGCCTAACATATCGGTGTGCTCGGCCAAGCTACGGAGTTATGCCAAGACAATTAAGAAGATATTAATTTACCTAATATACTGGCTCAACCCTTAATCCTCCGAGACCCATTTTCTAATCGTGGTCCAATAACAATCACTATAAATAGACTCCTAACAAAATACGTAATTAACTTTTAACTACTATTTAATAAATCGAACACTTACTTAAACGTTAGAATGTCATTACATATATCTCCTCTCACTTCAGACTACTAAAAAAGAAACCAAAAGACCTAGATCTCATACCAGACCCGTGTGTATCCTAGGAACACTATCCTTTTATTAACAAAAAAAAATATTACTATCCTTTTCATGAACGGATCAAAATAATTACAATGGACAATTCTCTTCAACGCGATGTTGTTCGAAAAAGTTTGAAGATTCTATTTCTAACGTGGCAGGCGCAATAGGTTTGGTCCAATTGACCGTGACACGTGTCATTTATTTTTTTTAATACTGATCTTTGATAAGAGAAAAGGACAATAGAAAGCGTGTCACAGTTTTTAACTAACAGAATTATTTCTTTTTCCATCCATTTATTTAAAACAATTCATTAAATACTATCCTTTTATTCTTGTCAGAAGTTTTAGGCATTGACTTTTTTTCTTATCCCGGCACAGATTTAAAAAAAAATATGTCAAAATGGATCGATTCACTAAATTTGGATTATAATACAAATAATGATGAACATGGCCAGACCTCAGTGCATATATTTGTTGGAAGGCAAATATACGCCTCTTATTTTTAATAGATACTCCATCTCTATTTAATAATAATAATCTTTTTAATTTATTTAAAAAAAAATTAGCTTTTCCATCCTTCCTCATTTTTTTACTATTTTTAATCACTTTTCATTTGTTTCTTTTATTCCTTTATACTTTTTTCTTTTCTGATTCTTTCTTCTATAGCAATTAAGATACTTATAAACATTTTTTTTAAATTCTATTTTTTCACCCTTAATTTCAATTTTTAAATTATAATTTTTCGTCTCATCTTTAATATTGTATGCATTGGGTACAAAATTAAAAATTTGTTGAATACATCAATTAAGATACTTTCTAAAAAAGAGTATTTAGTGAATAAATAAAGAAAAATAAAAGTTTACTAAACAAAAACCAAGCTAAATATCATGTGATCATGCTAACTTTCTGTTACTTCCAATTTTTGTGTGAAATATCGACTAGCGATAAATTTTTATAAAAAAATTTGATTAATTATTTTTAGTTTAATTTTTAATTATATATTTATTTTTATTTACTAAAACTTGTCTCAATATCTTAGAGTTAATCACTTATATACTGTTGATGTAAAGTTTTTTTACACTGATAATCAATTGTATCTTTTAATTGTGTCATGTCACTATAAAAATATTTACTTTTAACAGTGACATGACACAATTAAAAAATATAATTAGTTATCAGTGTAAAAAGAACTTTACACTAACAATATATAGATGATTAACTCTATCTTATATTTTATTTAACACATTTGAGTTTGGTTCAACTAAACTAATTAAATATAATTAATTACTTATATACTGTCAGTGTAAAAAAATTTTACACTAACAACTAATTATATCTCTTAATTATGTCATATCATTGAAACACATTTACTTTTAACATTGACATGATATAATTAAGAGATATAATTGGTTGCCATATAAAAATACTTTACAGTATACAGGTGATCAACTGAATTAAATATAAGTGATTGTACTGGTGATACTACAGTATAACTATAAATTTTTCTGCAAGTATGAAAAATGACGCCTGAGACATGGACGACGTTAAGACACGCTGGTTCGTATTCACCATTTCCTTTCGGTGCTAATGTGATCTTGCCCAAGATTTTATTGCCCTCTATTTTTGTTACCTTTTAGGACTATAAGGCTGATTCCTCTGCAGACTTAAAAATTAAATGCAGAGCTGTTACCTATTAAGCTAAATACCGTATTTGTGTATTACTTTCTTTCTCAAGCTAATGAGTTTTTTCAAGTGAATCAAGTTGATCAGTATCTAGTCCTAAAAGGCTACTCATTGATATAACTTCCAGGAACTTCTACAATAATCCCAAAAAATTTAGGGACCATATACAGTGTATATGGATCAAGGCTCTAACATGTCAACCATTCATCAATACCGTACCCCAATTTAATTCTATTAGTATTTATTAAACAACTACTTTCCTTGTTTATCACAGCTAATCGTTTGAAAATTAGGTAGTTCTTTATAATCTTTAACTCAAAACAAAAAGGAATTTGAGGATTTCTAGTTATCTGGGGAAACTGTAATTACAAAAATGTAAAACCTCTTTTGAAAGAAAGTTGTATTATTCAAGAGTATGAAAACATCCTTGACATGGAAGACGAAGGCCATGTATTAATATTTTCACCCAAAGCTACGGCAAACAAATGGAATTCTATTACAATATGAATTACAAGATCCTTGGCATCAAGGAAAACTGAGACTTGTATGTGGATTGATTTGCCATAGCCTTATAGACAAACCAAATGCTTATCAACACAAATATATATAGAAAGAAACCACTCCTCAAAGAAACAGAACATGAACTAACAGATAGGAAGAGGAGCACCATTCCACTCTCCAAGGCATTCCAACATAGGATCAATGATTTTCCCTTGGCACATGGCAGTGAACAGTTTGTCACACTCCTCACCCGGTGAGATAACCCTTTCTCCAGTTAGCAACGCTGTCCCCAACTCCTCTCTCACAAACTTGTACAATGGGTAAGACCTACACTCCTTGATCTTGTTGGGAATTGCACACTGGCCATTCTCATATGCAACCCTCGCACCTTCCACCTCCTTAGGCAAGAGGGCCTTCAACTCCTCCTCAAATGTTGTAATCTTTTGGAAGATTGAAGTGTTGGTGTTTTTCTCGCTCTCCCCGTTGGCCAATGCATAGTCCACAAGCACTTGCCTTAGCTTTTGCATCAAAGGGTATGTGCCACTGCAGGGATCATCGATGTAGGCAAATGTGTACTCCCTGTCAACAACTTTCAGCAAGTCCTTCTCGCAAAACCTTGAAGGGTGAAGCTCTCCATTCACACCTGTGGTGAGAGTCCTCTTGGCCACTTGGCTCACAACATTCTTCACAGTGTTCTTCAAATTCTCCTCCAAATGCCTCAAGTCTATGGCTTGGCAAAGTGCAATGAGGAAAGTGGAAGACATAAGCTTGAGGATCTCAATGGCTTCGTGTGTTTTTCTAGATGAAATCAACCCCAGAGAGTTCACATCTTGGTTGTGTTGCTCAGCACTTTGGACATGGCTAGTTACCGGGTTTGCCAAGTATTGGAGTTCAGAACAGTAAGATGCCATGGCAATTTCTGCTCCCTTGAAACCATAATCCAAGCTGGGGTTTCTGCTGGCAGTGAGATTTGAAGGCAAACCATTGTTGTAGTAGTCATTGACAAGCTCCGAGAATTGAGCAAACATGAGTTTGCCAATTGATGCAAGAGCCAAACGGGTGTTGTCCATGGAGACACCAATGGGAGTTCCTTGGAAGTTACCACCATGCAAGGCCTGGTTCCTTGACACATCAATCAAAGGGTTGTCATTGACCGAGTTAATCTCTCTCTCAATTGACTTGGTGGAAAATCTGATCACTTCGATTTGAGGACCAAGCCATTGTGGTGAAGTCCTAAGGGCATATCTGTCTTGTTTAGGCTTTTGCAAAGGATCTATCTCATGCAACTTCTTAGCTGCTTTAATGTAAGAGCTTCCTTCCAAAATGTGTTCCATGATAGCAGCAGCCTCAATCTGTCCAGGGTGGTGCTTCAGCTTGTGAGTCAAATGGTCAGTGAACTCAGGCTTCCCTTGCATGACTTCAGCAAACACCGCTGAAATAACTTCAGACAAGACAGCAAGGACGTTTGCTTCAAAGAGTACAATGGAAGCCAATCCAGAACCAACAGCAGTGCCATTCACAAGGGCAAGCCCTTCCTTAGGTTGCAACTCAAAGAACTCAGAGCCAATGTTGGCCACTTCAAAGGCTTCCTTGGCATTCAGAATCTCCCCAGAGGGTCCAACAGCCTTGGAGTTTGGTCTACCAGTTAGCAAACCGGCAATGTAAGACAAAGGAACAAGATCACCAGAAGCTGTGATTGTACCCCTAAGTGGCAAGCATGGGGTAATGTTGTTGTTAAGAAGCTTTGTGATAGCCTCCAAGATTTCAAACCTAATGCCTGAGTACCCTTGAAGAAGTGTGTTGATCCTTACTAGCATAGCTGCTCTTGTTGCAGTGTGGGGTAGTGTACAGTTGGACTCTGTACCATTGCCAAATATTCCAGCATTCAAAAACCTGAATTAAAGAAGAATAATTAATTATTAATAAGAATTATGAACATTTTTTTTTTTAAAATACTGCTCATTAAGTAGAGTAATAAAATAATATGATATAGTTAGGTGAGGAGTTAGGTAAAGGTCGTCAATATATTTTAAGCTAAGAAAAATAAATTAGAAAAGTGGACAACTACGGAGTCAAAGATGGGGTGTTAGGACTTAGAAAGGTAGAAAGGCTATGCACGATGGGGTGAAGTCTCACCAACCCCCGGGTCACGTGCAAATGAACAACTCGTGCTAGAGTTTAAATATTTCGCAAACGCCAACACTAATAGTGAGTTAACTCGCCACTCCACTGTTTCCACTCAGTGGGGACCACGAGTCGAGATCCAAGAGGTAGTGGACGTGCTTCATGTGGACAACTCTCTCTCATGGCAACTACTGTTTTTCACCACCTAACTAGCCATTAAACACACATTTATATGTTCACCAAATACTGTAATTAATGTCGTTTTATGCTAATTATTATTTTTTTATTTCAATATTTTATTATTTTTTTCACCAAATATCCTTCCACCAATAAAATACTTAAACCAATAAATATGATCTCATATGTTAAATATTATAATTTAAATGTAAAAAAAATATTTAAAATATTTTAAAATATTTTTTATTCATAAAAATATAAGTATTTCAAATTTATAAATATTCTATCACAGTTTTATGTCATTTAAAGTATCAAATTTTTCTTAAAATCTTCTTTGACTAAAAAGAAAAATATCATTTGATTTAATAAAAAAATTGTAAAAACACGTTTTTCAAAAATAAAAAATAATGTAACTGTGAGAAAAAAAAAAGTAAAAACACATACAACAATAAACTAAATTTTATTAGTCCAAACAACCGATAAGAGATAAAGAGATTTTTTTTAAAAAATATAATAAATGATATGAGAAAAGGACAAAATAAATAATACGTGCACAGTAAAATTGTACAACTGTTTTTTATTTTTATATATTTTTTTATCTATTTCTATAATTTCATTTATTACAACGAAAAGGTATAGTGACAAAAATATATTACACAAAGTTGTATAAAGTATTGTATGTTTATTATTACTAAAAAAAAATCATTTTATTGTATAAATTTTTCTACGTGTATCACATCTTAAAACCAAAAAAAAATAAAAAATGGCTCCCTCTATATAAGGTAAGCCAACTTATCTGCAATTCTGCATCTTTCCTCAACTATGAGAACATACAATAATAGCAACCAATTTGGATAAAACATGGTTAGGTAGTGAACATCAGTTAATCACATAGTTATTTTGGGTAGTCAGAAACAGGTAACAGCTAGCCTTTTTACGTACTCAGATGGAAACAGTAAAAGCAAAAAGAAAAGAAGGACTGATGATCGATCATGTGCATCATCAGTTCACGTACAATAATAATATAGAATGCCACATACAGGTACGAGTTGATGAACCAAAAAATCCCATGTGAAGCAAATAAAGACAAATTAAGCACTCCACAGTCCACATATAATCTTAGTCAAGTTCTTAAGTTAAAAATCTACAGGAACTTCGTACATTAATTGTTGTCATCACTTATCAGATCATCTATCCTTGTACACGTACACCCTTTTTTTTTATTTTTTTATTTATAGCAAAATACGTAAAATAATAATAATAATAATAATAATAATATATCGTAAGTTTGATGAGGTGCAACAAGAGTAGGAGTAAGTTATACTGTTATAGTATAGTGTGAATTATTTATTGAGTTACCTAATTAGCTCCTTCTGCAAGGCACCACCTTGTTTGGTGCGACGGTGGGAGGTGGCGCCGAAGCCGGTGGTGACGCCGTAGCTGTCGGTGCCCTTGTTCATGCTGTCCATGACCCAGTCGCTGCTGGCCTTAACGCCGGCCCTGGCGGACTCAGCGAGCTCGACCTTGACTCCCTGGTCGTGGGCAGCGATCGCCGCCACCTGCGAGATGGTGAGCGTTTCTCCGCCGAGGCGGACGAGCGGCTTGCGGAACTCAGCCACCATGCGCTTGACCTCGTCGAGGTGGCTCCCCTTGAGGGCCTCGGCCGCAGAGGCCCAGTTCAAGGGGTCTGCCGCAGCGACGGCGCCATTGCTTAAGCAGAAAGTGTCTGCAGCTTGAACGTGGCCATTAGCTGCCATGTTGTAGTTGGAGACAGGGTAAGGTAGGTGGGAGCTTTAAGTTAAGGAATGTGGAGGTGTTAGGAAATCGTGGGTGATGGAGTGTAGTTGATTTCCTGAGGGTGGAGGGAGAGAGAAGGGGGCATTATATAATGGAGGGTGTTGGGGCCGTTTCGAATCTCGAGCGTTGGTGTTTGGTAGGTGGGCGTAAAGGGTGGCAACGATGCACAAGAGGGGGTTGGTGGAAAAATAATGACAGGCGTTCGATTACGGGGCAGCATCAACGGCTGCTATTGCGCCACGTGGCATCTTCCCATCTCACTATCTCTACACTACTTGGTAGCTGGGTGCGATGTCACCATGTGGACAAGAAACGAAGTAGTTGGCCACAAGCAGTGGAATAGAAGATACAACACCAACACACGCACACATCAACACCAAACCCCTGTCATATATTATTATTACTACTTCTTTATCTATGTCTTTTTTACATTTATTTATTTTACCTATTTTTTTATACGACCGTTTTCGTTACGGTTTATTCTATATCAATAATAATGGGACCTAGTGTGAAAAGGATCGAAATTAAGATCTATATATAGGAGCCATCCAGCTACTATTTATGCCATGCTTCTTCGCTGCTTCTTGCTGTTAAGCTGAATATTCAACGACAGAATCCGGTTAGGGTTCAACTTATTCTTCAAATGTGATTCAGTAAACTAAGTTAACCCAACCACGGATTCATTACTGAAGCGCATACATGATAATACTTCACGTTGTACGTAACAATGTTCTTAATTTGCAGCCAACTTTTTAAATAAAAAATAAACTCGTTTAATTAGTTTGTACTAGATCAGTATCACTTAAGCTAATTGTATTTTATTAACTTAACAATTACTAGTACTTTAACATTTAAGTATAGTAAAGTCGTCATAAATTACTGAAAAAAAATCTATATTTTTAACACTTTCTTTTAAGAGACTCGAGTATTCTTTACATGAATATCTTATCTAAGTAAGATAGATCATTATGAGCAACATTTTTTTTAAAAAATATTTAATATATTTACGTATTCAGAACTTAAATTTGAAATTACTAATAAAGTAAAAACTAGAATCCTATATGAATTGATTTATTTGTATATTTAATATGAAAAATACGTTGCATGCATGTAATTTTCATAAAAGTAAAAAATAAATACTATGCGGTATATATATGACCTCCCAATTAATCTCGCTTCTTCCAAAGTACGGATTCAATATATATTACATATGGGTTGTTGATCTCTACGAGAAGAATAGCATTCCAACGTGCTTTGAGAAGATTGTATCCTAACTAAGACACGAGGAAATATTAATTTGGCTTTTTTTTAAGGTTTAGGGTTTAGGGTTTAGGGTTTAGGGTTTAAGTATTTAGGGTTTTTTAATTTGCCTTTTTTTTTTAAGTATTTAATAAAAAGATATGTGCATTTTTAAATATAAAAACACTTAAATTTTACATTTATTATAGTATTAGAGATCTCACGTTAACTGAAAAGTTCATTATAATAATTTATATAAGTAAAAAAATAATTTTATATAAGCTGAATTTATAATTTTAGAAACTTTTTTGTTTAAAGAATGTAAATTCCTTCTGTTTGGATATATGATATATGACAAAGAAAAATTATGAACATAATACATAAATCTATTTGTTTTCATTTTATTTTTACTCAATTCGTTTTATATATCCTTCTCTTCCTTTTCCCACTTTATCACTCCCCCCTTCAATTTCCACTATATAATCTACCCCCACAAAACAGAGTAGAGATATTTATCGATCGTCACTCTTCCCATTTTGATAAAGCACTTACAATTTCAAGGTAAGATATAAATTAAGATAATGTGATTCTCTGTGGAGTTTAGTAACGCTTATTGCAATAATTAAGTAATAAGTGTTATTATTAACTATTTCTCTTGCACATGTTATTCGTATTAATGTGGAGTATACCAGTAAAAACATGCGTCAGCATATACCAACAAATATAGCAAGATGACCATACGTAGTTTCACAGAAGATAATCATACCACTACAAAGCTGATTAATCAACCCTCCACCATTTACATTATTACACAATAGACAATCATAAAACTTATCTATGAAGGAAGTGAATTACTTTATTATGTTTTAATAATTATTGTATCTTACTTTATTATGTTTTAATCATTATTGTATCTGATGATACATATACTAGTGGAAAAAAGGCTTTTAAAATCGGTTATTTTGAAATTTTAAAATCGGTTATGGAACTGACTTAAAAGAGCCGATTTTGAAAAGGTAGACTTTTAAGATCGATTGATTTATAACCGATCTTAAAAGTCTGGACGGTGAAAAAAATTAAACTGGAACGGGCCGTTCCAAAACTAGAACGGGCCGTTCCAGTCTGTTCAAAAAGACCAAAAACTTAACTTTCAGTACGGGGGGAGAATGGTCCGTCCTCCATGGAGAACGACCCGTTCTGCAAGGAGAACGACCCGTTCTCCTCGCAGAACGGCCCGTTCTCCTCGCAGAACGGGCCGTTCTAGGTTCGAATTTTGCCCAAACTGAACCTACAACGAAAATAGAGATGAGAAGAGTATGAGCAAACGAAAAGAGTTACAATAAGAACATGAGAAGACGAAAATGAAAACGAAATTTACCTTGGACTTTAGAAAATAAGAGCGTCAGAGATTAAAAAAAGGAATGGAGGGAAAGATTAAAGAGAATGAGAATGGATGAGAATATAAAAGATTTCTGAAGATACTTTTAAAATCGGTTATTTAAGAACCGATTTTGTAACTTTTAAGATCGGTTACAAAAGAACCGATCTTAAAAGTGCACTTTTAAGATCGGTTCTTTTGTAACCGATCTTAAAAGTTGTGTCAGGCATACTTTTAAGATCGGTCATAAAATTAGCGATCTTAAAAGTACTTTTAAGATCGGTTACATTTTAACCGATTTTAAAAGTGTTCATGTTATTTACAAAATTGTCACCGCATCACTTTTAAGATTGGTTACCTTATAACCGATCTTAAAACTCCAATTTTAAATCCAATTTTTACACTAGTGATAGATAATTTTATCATTTTAGTTTTTGTTTAATAAGTCTTTATATTTGGCATTTTTATAATCTCTAGTTGCACTTATTCGAAGGATTCAAAATATACTTTACTTATCTAATAAGTCTTTGTATCTTTAAAAATTGTAACCCTTCGTTTCAAAGGGAGAGGAAGAGTTGTGATAATTCATAAAAAGATGTAGTTGAAACGACACTCTTAGAGAAAAATTAATTTCCTATAAATTCAAATACATGATGAAACAACATGACTTTTAGGTTTTCTTTGATTTTTTAATTAAAAAATCTCGATAACCTGAGGACCTATATATTGGAAGGGTCCGATTGAGGGATAAAGTCGAACATCCCCTGGATCTTACCGAGAATTAAATGAGTTTACGAATAATTTAAGAACACTTTTGAAGGTAAGTAAACAGGTAATGAGCTTGTCATCAAGGTACAAGCTCAATAAGGTTAGTATAAATAAAGATATATTAAAAGAGATAAAGTATTTTTACATTTATTACAACATTAATTATATTGACTTGTTTGAGAATAAGAACTAACTTTAGCATTGAAGTACCTATTATAGGTACCTTCATATTTCCTTCTCCTTGCACTATTAAAGGTAAGTAAAGTACATTTTGAACCCTTTGGGTAAGTGAAACTAGAGACTAAAAGAATGTCAAGTATGAGGACTTATAGGACGACGACTGAAATGATAAAACTACCTATGTACTCTCGTGTAGGTACATTTTGGCGCTCACCATGGGGCCTTGTTTTGAAGGCTCGTTTTGTTATTTCTTTTGTAGGGGGAAGATTTTGTGAAAAATGGTTACTATAAGGAAGAATACCAATTTTGTTCAACTTGAACAAATGTCTGGACTTGTGGCTATAGAAAATTAAACTAATCTCTCTAAAGTTGTAAGGTTGTTTTTGGAGGAAATGATAGTTATTCGTCAAGCTCGTGAATGTGATGCTCAAGAGCTTGAGATACTTAAAAAAAAGAATGCTGAATTAAAAAGTTTAAATGTAACTTGGATTCCTACTGGTCAAAGACTAACAATGAAGCTTCTTCATATCATGTACTGATGACTTCTCATACACAAGTTCCCCCAATGAGGTTCTTGATCATTCCTAACCAAACTCCCCCTCGGTCTGGGATAGTGACAGGGACTTATAAGCACCCTTTTACTCAAAGAATTATGGAGACAATGTTGTTTGATAATTGGAGGAGTCTTCCTCTAGAAAAGTATGATGGGTCATCTAATCTTGATGAACATTTGAATGCATACCTTACTCAAGTTTCTTGGCTTACTCAAGAGGATGCGACTTTATGTCATATTTTTCCAACATCTCTAAAGGATCGAATACTTAGTTGGTTCATTAAACTTCCTCCATGATCTATAAATTTATTTGAAGAATTATCAACTTTGTTCATTGTACAATTTTCCACTAGTCGTCCCTACCAACTAATTAACGTTGTTGGCATTACCCAATATCAGGCAAGAGAAGAAGTCTCTTCAATCCTTCATGAATCACTTTAATAAAATTGCTATGAAAATTAAAATTTTAAATATCACAGTTGCTATGGATAGATTGAACATTGCTTTAAAATTGAGACCATTTATAAATAGTTTGTGTATGAAACCCCTTATGGATATGAATGACTTAAGAAAAAGGGTTGAGAAATATATGCAAATGGAAAAATTAGTAAAAGCAAGAAAGCAAGTAAGAGCTGAAGCTACCCTTAATAAAAAAGAAAATCAAAGATAATCATACCAAAAAGCAGAGGAGGGGATAATTTGAAGAGTTATCAAATAAGAGGGCCTTGATGTACAAATTATACCCCCTAAACACAAGCAGAGCAGGAATCTTAGAGTAAACACTTGCTTAAAAAAATTTAACACTAATCCTAAAAAAACTCATATACCTCCTAAATCAGATCTATGAAAGTCATGTTCATATCATCAAAAGCACGATCATTCAGTCAAAGTGTGTGCGACCTTAAAGGTGTAACACCCCAAGTTTTCTAAAATTATTAAAATGATATT